ATAGCCCAGAATCTAAGAAGGGCCAGGCTTGGTTGGTACAAAAGTACCCGGACGCGTCCATCAAATCACTTGAGGGTGTCTTTATCGTTAGTACCGCTGGGTGGCAGTGCTGGGTTGATAATGGCTGATCCTGAAAAGCTCAGCAGGGCTGTGGGCTGGACTGGAAACCTGAAAAAATATCCTGAAAGGCAGCAGTGGCAAATCACTCCTACCCTGTTGCCAAGAAAATTACATGGCCCTAAAGTTGCCAGGAGCTAAGCTCGACTCACGATGCCTCACCTTGGATTTGATGCTTTTCATTGATCTCTCCTACTGCGTGCGGCTTGCCAGAATAAAAATTGCAGAGAGCCATAGAATAAAAGAATGAATTACTGGAAATGTGGGATCTCACAAAGCTGGAGAGAGGAGACCGGGGCTGACAAAGGGGGATCACAAACAAATGGTGCAACGTGTGAGTAAGCCTTTCAGGCATACTTTCCACCTCCTGTAATCTCTTGCTACTACAACCACTCATTTCTTCCTTCTGCATCCCATTCACTGAGGTGCCATCTGTTAATTGGGCTGTAAAGGCAAGTTTGGAGTGCTTTGAGCCCGCTTAATATATCCTGCCTATATTTCCCCTCTGAAGCACTGTCTGACCAACCTGTCATTAAAATATTTAGGCAGCTGTACAGGATATAAAAGGTGGTTAACAACTGCCCTGTTTAGCGACTGTTCAAAGTTACAAAGGTGCTGAAAAAATAACTTTACCGGAACTTATGACCGTCGTAGCATCCGCATGCATTGCGATTTAGGCACTTTGCAACCAGTGCACATTGACAAACATCGCAGTGGCCTGTGGTCACGTGATCACTATCTGCACGCTTCACAGCCAGCTTCCAACAAGCAGAGTTAATGGAGAAGCCAGCAGTAAAATCACAAGCCGTGGTCATGTGATGTCTCGCTTAACAACCACAGGTGATTCTCTTAATAATCACAGCAGAACTGACGTCGTAAGTCTGGCCGTGGTCACATGATGTTTCACTTAACAACAGTATCGCCTACTGACAGAGTTGCTGGTCCCAATTGTGGTTTTTAAGTAAGGACTACCTGTTCTGAAGCAGTGTCTGAATCCAGGCAGGTTCTTAGCAGGAGGCGGAAACATTCTTGATTTATATTGGAACCTTCTACAGATGGTGCAAGATTCAAGCACACCACCTTGGGATGAGCAAAGTTTATTTAGTTTGGAAGCCAGCAGTTACTTATGGCCACATTCCATGCAGACAGAAATGTACAGCAATGTTATAATGTGCACATTGTTCAAAATGCAATTACCAACGTTGAATCAGTCCAAAACTCAGATTTGAGATGGATTAACTTCGGCAGCCCATGTAGTTGGTTGTCCTGCTCCTACGGTGATTGAAACTGAAATCTGCCAGATCTGTTATTTGGATTTTGTTATTACAGCTTTTTTTGTTAAAGCCACAATGGGTTCAGTGTTGCAGATCACCAACAAGAAATATATTGCTACTGAAACAAACACACAAATGCAGCTCGGATGTAAAACAAACTGACGTGCGAATTCAGGAGCACTCAAATGTATTTACAGTCTCCGTCTTTGGAAAGGGAATGACAGAAGCAGTGCAACCGGATGCGTGTTCTGAAAATGTACATGCCAGATGAAGCCATCGTTTTAAAATTAACTACAAACACCACAAAATACAGAACCTATGCACACGGGGAATATATCTGATTTTCAAGGGCGTGAGAAGGGTGTTCTAAAATCCGTGAAACCCTCCTTATGAAACAAACTGCCAACACAGTTTATGGAGCATGATATTAATGATTCTTCACCGAATGGTCTGCTAACAAAAATATGGCAATGACATTTTACAGCTTTTTCTTTTCTGTTCTTCGTTATGTGATTTGTGTAGTCATGGATAATGGCAAGGTATTGTTAATTTTCCCAACGGTTTCAGCTTCTTATTCAGAATTTAAAAGCACCTACTATTGAAAATACAATGCAGCCATAGGCACAAGAAGACGACAATCAAAGTCTTGCTGCCAAAACATCTTCTGATCCTCACGCTAAAGAAACCATGAGAAACGTAGCTGACCGAGATAAAAGGAGGGACTTTTGCCTGTTAACCATTTTGCTGACCTCGAAAGTCAGTTCTTTGATGAGTTAACTCTCAGGTTTAAGAATGTATTTCTTAGGCATCCAAACTGGCTACTGAGCATCCGTGTTAAAAGTCAAACTCTGAAAAGTATGTGGATCACCTGTAATTGTTATGTTCCATTCTCTATTGTCCAAGACATTTTCATGAATATTTATGCATCGTTGGGTAATCAATGATCACCTTTTCGAAGAAAGTCTTTCTCATTTCCACTGTTCTCCCAGATGTCCACAAGATGGCAGATACCTTTTACTGAAGAGGCCACACATTCCTAAAACCCTTGAAAAAAGAGGGAATTCCCCATTTCACCCCCTTTCTGATCATATTGCTAGATTAATGGAAGTGTATCCTGTGACTAAAACAGCAGAAACTAGCACGAAGGAATTCTTAGGACTTAGACCTCTCCAGTTCTCCTCTGCCTGCATACACTTTCTTGAAGTCTAGTGAATTCTAACTAGATACTCTTCCTATAGGTTAGCCTTAAGGTCATATATTTGCCACCATGCTTCAATAAAGTAATTCATTCCAAGATAAATGGCACCTTTAGGGCTGATCATCTTGAGAAAATAATGACAGGTGTGTGTGACCATCACATTTTCCAGGTACTAATCTTCCTGTACCCATAACATGATTAATGATAGACCTGGAAGAAACCGTTTAGTCATCAACTCTACCCCCACCCCCAGCTCAATGCAGCAATCCAAATTAAAGCTTCCCACACAGATAACCCTGAGAAGATCCAATGTAGGAGAGACCACCAGCTCTCTCGGTTCCATTGAAATTGATACGCCAACCTCCTTCAGTAGGTTGATACCATGGGTGAACAAGTAAACACATACAGTAGAATACGTTTAAGCTGTAGAAATAGCCCCAAACCCAAACTCAATTTGTAGTTTTATTTCTCCGTTTCATCTGAACGTTGAAGATGTTAGCTTTTCAGAGCTGGAATGCAATGTCTGCATAGTTACTAAACTCTGATTGCAGTCCCATGTCCATTTACTTGAAAAAAAGCCCTACTGAATGAAGTGGACTTTTTAATAGGGATATCCATAGAACCAGGAGTGGCCACAGGAAGGGGGTCAAAAAAGTCAAGGGGGAGCCACAACCATGCCATTAAAGCCCAGCCCCCTTTTTACATGCATCATGGCACATATAAAAGAGGGTGGGGCTTCAATGGCATGGTTGTGGCCATTTTGAGTTTTTTTACTCCCTTCCTGCAGACTCCCCTCACAGAGCCATGACAGATCCCCTACTCTCAAGCAGTTTAAAAAAATCTAGTTGCTTTGTCTGTTATCTGCATGCAGATAAAAAGTCCAAAATTAACTGGCAAGTAGCAAAATACTGTGCTGGATGTAGTGCTGGTGCAAGGAGGAGCACGAAGCGCAGGACGATAAAAACAAGTGGTCTTTTCTTTTACTGAATTTTATGCTCATCTCACAAAATTTTAAATATTCAGTTCTGCACGGTGTTTGAACAGTTTTGATAGAATGATGGGAGAAATAGGGTAGCATTTTAATTTTCAGTAGTCTATTCATTTAGTATTTTAAATAGCCTAGAATTTTAGCATTTGATTTCCTTAGTAGTCAAATGACTTAGCAATGTAGGCTTCAAGTATTATAGATTCCTTTGTATATTTAGAGTAGTTATGTTCAGTATTGGCCCCTACATTGTATTCTGGTCCTTCTCATTCGCAAAATTGGTTTAGCGGTTTTTCTTTTACTTCTCTTTCTGTCTTGTAATTCTTAGCATGAAGCTATAAAAAAATCCTAACCAGTAACCATAATAAAGGATAAAAATTGGCAAACTGAATGATTGACAAAAGAGTATTCTGCAGTTCTCTGCCAACCTCTTCAGTATAAGTAGGATCAACCTTGGCTAATACTTGGATGGGGAATAACCTGGGAAGGTTATAGCTGTAGGCCACGTGGCAAGAAAACCTCATGAATGTACTCACTTTTTTTTACAAAGATAGCTGAGAACCATGATAGACATCAAAGGCATTTTTACCTTCTATTGTCTGGGCATTAATCAAAAGTAGGGCCAGCATAAAACATGAAGCCAGGAAGCATTGTGGAGTTGTGAATCCCCAAATCATGAGCACTTTAGTATTATCTACAGGGGTGTCTGAAAGGGAGGGGTCAAAATGGCGGCCATGTCCACGTGATTTGAGCCATACCCCCTTTTTACATGCACGACATATGTAAAAAGTGGGCAAGGTATCAACCATATGGTTGTAACCACCATCTTGACTTTTTTTGACACCCCTGATTTCCCTCGATCTGAAAAAAAAATTGTTTTCTACTTCTTTTTCACTGCACCCACTTGTACCCTCTTCATAATCAGCTCTTTAGATTGAGTAACCCAACAGAATGGAATCTGACACAGCACGAGGGAAGCCCTTCTGGACTGTCCCTCAAGGCTCGAAATCATTCGGATGGAAGTGAGAGCGCAAAACTGGCTGCGTGGGAATGGGGACAGGAAAAAGCCCTGGGTTTCCGTGGAAAATGACTTCACTCCAAGGAAGTATTACATTTATGCACTAACACACAGAGTTCCTTTCATTCATTCTTTGGATTGAGGAAGTTGAGAGTCATACCACTGCTAACCTTTCAAAGCTCTCCTTCCAACCAGAGGTTCAAGGTTCTCACACATTAAAACTGGCTGTATCAAAAGAGTTCATATGTCCCTCAGCAAACTAAACTAAACATGTTCATCATTTCATTTCCACTGCTTTCAATTTACACAGTTCCCTGTGGAGGAAATCAAGCTATTTATCCACGGCCACTACAGGCCTTGTTTAAGGGAGCCGAATCTCTTAAAGGTCCCTATATTTCGCTTACTGACCTTGGCTTCCGGATCACTGTTGATGCTACCGGAATCATCTTCATCACACTGTGGTGCGTTTCTATTGAATGGAGGAGGAAAATCTTCTATTAGACAAAGTCTCAAACATAAACAGACAATTCAGCATACAAAAACACTCCAAACTATTACAGCAGAGCTCAGCTGCTGTTTTCACCTGCTGGAAATGTTCTGGTAGTACCTTTTAGTACCTTTAAATGTGGCCGTGCACATTAGACAGCCCACGGCAGTGTAAACAAAGTAGAATTTCACATCTTTACAGAGCCAGAAGGACACCATAAAAAATTACTGACCAACACAGCAGTCAGGGAACTGAAGAGGGAACACAGGACTTGGATCAAAATGATTTAACCTAACCCCTGTAACTGAGCTCCGACAAGATAAAAAAACCACAACCGACAAGTAAATGAAAATGCAAAATTAATGAAAAAGTAGAAAGGGCTGAGAGGTATTCACAGCCTGCGAAAAATTCCTTTCCCACTTTCCAGCATTCCCTTCTGGAACTAACAGATCTAACAAACCTCAAAGCAGTTATGTGCAAAATACTATGTGCGATGTAACATTTTCCAAGCGGCATCCAGAGGGGGGAGTCAAAAAAGATAAGATGGTAGGATGCAATGGTCTGCGGGAACGAGCTTGGGAGACAGGAGGAAGAGCCGCCGACGAGACAACTGTCAGATAAGCGGCAGCTGAGCCCACAGAAGGAATGAGGGCATGGCAAACATCTCAGAAGGGACCCTCCCTGGTTTCTTGGACTGTAAAGGCGAGGGGGGAGAGATGGACTTTCAGACTTGCAAGATCACAATGAAGTTAGAGCTAGGACTTCTGGGTGTGCTTCTTGTCTGAATCACCTCACAAGGCTGACACAGAAGCAGCACTGTGATGTAAGCCCCACCTTTTTTGCACATACAAAAGGGGTGGGGCTTGGATTGTGTTGCTAATTCTGACCTCCTGTTTTGCTTAAACCAAGCTTCCTCCCTGCACCCACGAATGCCTCTCTCAAATGCTCTGGTTGGAACACCGCTGGCAAACTCAGCAGCGGGAGGAAGACGACGGTGAATGCCAGCTGGGGTGGCCAGGCCAGCGGAGTGTAGGGCGGCAGGACTGGCAGAGTGCAGGGCGGCCAAAAGGGCAGAGATGGGGGGTAGATAGGCGGGTGGGGGGAGTTGAAGAGGAGGCAGTCCCTTACCTTACTGAGGTTGGGGCTGGGAGTCATCAAGCCGGGAATGGCTTGGATCGAGGCGGGTCCTCGCCTAACAACTGGTGGGATTCGGTTAATGGCGGCACCCGGGACTGCCAGGATTGCCATTGCTAAGCGATACAGTCACATGATGTTGTGGTTTATGACTGCATCACTTAGCGACAGAAATTCCGGTCCCAATTGCGGTCGTTAACCAAGGACTACCTGTAGTAGGCAAAGGTGTAAATGTGATGTTAAATTATGCTCCTAAAATATGGAAGAAATGTGACTTTACTGAGCGTGGGGCTTGGCAAAGACATAGAGGGAAAGAAATTTATACTTCTGATAATAAGGAATGGATTCAAGATATGTATTCTTTATCAATTTTTGAAAAGCCTTTATATTCTAAAAATAAGAAGACAGAGCACTGCGTTTTTACATTTGCAGTCTAGAGTTAATAATCACTTTAAGAAGTGAATTAATTTTATTTTGATATCATATGGATGTTATTTTTTCTTTTTTCTTTTCCACTCTCCTTAAGTTTAATTAATTTCAATCACTGTAATGTATGTATTTTTTTTTTTACTGTATTCACTCTGATATACGAATGAATGAATCTTTATGACAGCCAAAGGCCAGAGATAGAAGATACAACTAAACACAACTAAAAATAAATAAATAAAAGTAGAGTAAGACATGCACTTGTAATAGCTGATATAAAAAGTATGTCACTGCTGACGTATTATTCTTTTTTCACGGTTGTTATAGTTCACTATTAACATTAAAACAAAAAATGAGAAAAACAAAGAATCTTGGCAAAGATTCCAGGGGCAAGTAAAGGGATTTCACGGACTTGTCCACCCTCCCTCCGCTTCTCACCTGAGCTTCAGGGAGGCGTATCGCAAGGTAGCTCCTTCGAACTCTTTTAAGCTGGGGTCCGGATTCACGGTGGCTGCGTGGAGATCCTGGAGGGTGATGAAAAACAGCACGTTAAGCCTGCCGCGAGAGCATCTCTCCTGAGCCCCCTTTCCAAAGGGAAATAAAACTATTCCTGCAGAATGGCAACCAGAATGAGCTTGGCAACGGCAGACACAAGAACATGCATGTATCTTTCACAGCACGGTTTGTTAAGGGCAGGCACACGCTGATTACAGATGAACGGGGCTTGGACAAAGTCAGGCTGTGTGAAAAGGCCAGGCGTAGGTAGCACATCTGGGGACCAGCCTTGCCCAGCAAAGCTCACATTCACTTGGCTGATTAGTTGTCATGAGTGATATTTGTGGGGAGAAAACTGTCCATACAGCCACAGCCATGCACATTTTTAAAAAGCTTAAACAAGTATCAAAAGCTGTTCTAAAATCTGACAATATACTTGCCTTCCAAATGTCACTATTAATCTTTCCCCCATTCAGTACAGCAAAATCACTCCATGGCTGTTTCTAGATATATATATGTATATATTCACACAGGAAGAAGCATATTGATTAAAAAGAAAAGAAAACAGGAGGGATGTGGGAGGGGAGGAAGGGAAAAAAAACACAGAACACCTTTGTTAGCACCAATATTTACAGGCTGGGTTAGGGAAAAGAACACCTCAAATTTCACTAAAATAATTTACTGTAAAGCAGAGCTGGCTCAAAGTGTGATGCTCAAACGTTCTAGAAAACTAAAATGTATGCTATCACATCATACACCGAGCAGTATCACAACTGCATATTAAGAAGGTAGGAGTTGAAGAGGGGGCTCGTTTCTCATTTTAAGGTTCTCGTGTTTTCCAAATTTGCTTTGTTTCACAGTTGCGCAAACTCCAGGCAACGTGCAGAGAACATCATGCCCTCCCCACTCTCCACTGCTGTGGTTATTACCAGGCCAAAGAATTGCTAGGCACCTTTTTCAAATATCTGGCAAACACAATTTTGCAGACATTTATACGAAGCAGGCGATCGGTGGTTGCCTAGCTTGTCCGCAACTCTGAGCCAGCCCCAATACAATGATATTTGGCAGTAGGAATGAAGCATGTCTCCAAAGCAATGGTTCCCAAACTTTTTTTTTGCAGACCACTTGGAAATTACTGAAGATATAGTTAGATCCCTTCATATAGAGTGGGGGTGGGGGTGGTTATTTTTATTTACTTACTTAACAAATTTATATGGCCGCCCAACTCATACACAATGAATCCGGGTGGCTTACGAAGTCAAGTCTCTAATACAAAACCCCGCCAACACTGCATATGCTTATAACATCATTGAATTTTGTTTTCTTCTTCAGCAATGGTAGTCTTTTTCAAAGCAGTGCCTCATAATAAGTACAGGCCCTTATTCACTAAGCCAACCCCAGCGAAAATGGCCTTCATCACCATGGACAGAAAAAAAGGACACATCTCAAGTGTAAGGCTGAACAGAGAAGGCTTAACTGCTTTGTGTCCTTTTCATGCAACATCCAAAGGAACTGATGGGCAATCAGTGATCTGCAGACAACAGCACGAGAACCTATGCTCTAATGTCACTTAGCAAGACAAGTCACTAAGACAGGGAAAAGTTACATAAATAAGGGACAGACAGACCATGAGTTTGCCCTTTCATTAAGATGCTTAAATGACAGGAGATCAGCTCTAGAATTTGATAAATTGCCTGGATCTTTAATTTCAATTCTAAATAACTATATGTATGTATGTATGTATGTATGTATGTATGTATGTATGTATGTATGTATGTATGGGATCTACTTAGTCAGTAACTACCTGATGTTTTTGTACTAATGGAATAAACCTATGATGTTAGCATGAAATTTAATATAAAAGAGCAGAAGGGGTGATGCAGAAGACGACAATGAAATCAGAAATGCAAGCCAGTGTGATCCAGCATTTGGACTAGCCTGAGGAGACCCAGGTTCAACATGATGTTGAACTCAGCCATGGAAGTTCATCAGATGACTTTGGTCCAGTTGCTATTTCTTAGCTCACCCCATCCCACAGTGTTGTTGTGGGGGAAAAAATGGAGGAAGGAATACTATGAAGACAAACTTTAGCTCCTGGAGAAATGGTGGGTTGTAAATCTAATGAGTGAAGAATAATAACTGTTGCAATGAAAATTACCATCCAAGGAAGCAAACATGACTTTGGGATGTCTCTGGATGTATGTGTGCCAAAAAGGCAAGATGATGCCCACATCTGCAAATCCCTACCATTTTTACATGCATTCTGCACATAGTGATTGCAAAAAGAGGGCAGAGCTTCACAGGTACAAGTGCCAGCTTGACTTTTGGGAAACAACCCTGTACGGCTTCATATGAAAAGCTTTGATTGATCAGAATGAAATCCTTTCTTTTTTGTATACGGTGAGCTAATGTTAGGATACTAAAACAGAATTCTGAATCCCCTTTCTCTCCTTCCTGCCAAAGAAAACTTGGTCATTTGCAGAGGGCTGTCTCTTGAGGACAGCGTTTGAGACTCACTGATTTGCTGCACGAAATGAGGCTAAAGGATGCAAATGGGCTAACGATCAATTACAATCAAACATTCCTTCCTAAATCTTTCTCACCTGCCCCATGTATTTGTTCTGGTTATATCTCCTACTTAATTGTACACTGCCAGTTGCCTTGCAGAAATGCAGTTTTAACAAGAATGAGGTCAAACCACTAGGTTATTCCATTCCTTAAAAGCAAATCAAAGTTACTCCCCTGAGGACAACTTAAATTAACTTGTCTATCCAAGTTATTGATGGGCATTCACTAGAGCCCCTTTGACAGCATCTCATCAGCAGTGCTAGAGGGCAGATGTAACGATACACCGGCTCCTCAAAGACCCTGCCAATGTGACTTGATTGAGGATAATCAATTGATTATCTTAAGATGCAGTTTCATACAAGGTTACTATTCCCTTTCCTTAGCAAAAAGCCAAGCCACCCAGATGAATATTATATTTAAACCATATTCTTTTTGTAGTATTATTATCGTATGTTTATTATATATACCGGTAAACTCAATCCAATCAGATTGAGGCAGTGAAGAAGCTGTACATTTTATCCATTGTCTGATAAAAAAAATGTGAAGGTGACATATGGTTGTAATAGTTTGTAATCTAGCAACAAGGATTCATAGCAGTGCATTATCTCCTAAAGGGTATTGTGTATTTTCTAAAGATAAACAGCATTGTATATTGATGTTCTGTCAGTTACTACATGTTATATTTTATATCTATGATCATAATAAAGTCTGTATTTATGTATGCATGGGCTAACAGCTAAAGCTGTATTAAAAATACAGGTAACTATCATTTAGAAGGATATCAAAGGAGTACAAAAATTCAAACGAATCACATGAAGAACGTCTTCTTTCTTCTACAAATGTAATAGTGGTAATATGAGAAGTCTGAGACAAAAATCCTATCCCCACACATTTAGAGACCAAGGTCTGCACCTGTTCTGGCATGAAAAAACTAGATTGTGGATTGTTCCTATAATCAGAACCGCCATAAGTTACAGTGGGGCTACTTTATGAGATGACACAGGTTTCTTATTTTCCATGCTATTTTTCAAAGGTCTGCTTCGGATCCTTTTGGCTTTCATACTTTCTTTTGATGTTCCCCTGAACCTGAGACCACATCTCCGTGCTAGCTAGCAAAAAACCCAACCGCTCCCAGTTATCTTAGATGAGAGTCCCAAATCAGGATTATGTATTCATACATAGATCTGTTTGATAACAGGAATAATTTCTAGTGCCTCTGGTTCTATGCATGTACCAACAGTGTAAGGAACAAAGGCAATTCCATGAGGGATAAAGACAGCTGATTGATCTGCCTTACTTTATCTGAAATAAACTGACGATAACACATTAATTTAAAACAATGTTTACCCTCTCTACTTGATCACAGCAGGCATTCAAACCTTACCTCCGTTTCGGGAGTAGGAGACGATGTGATAGAACTCAGGGAACCTTTTCGTGAGCACTGAAGATCTGTTGGTGCAGATATGGGACGTTCCCATTGTGTGGTTCCTGTGGGTATGTGCCAGTAATAGATGCCTGCTATATCACTGATCTTTTTCCAACCTGGTGGCAAGTCAGGATCTGACTGAAATGAATGATCACTCCATATATCTGCTGGGAATAAGAATCCACCAAAAAGTCTCTTTAACGACAAAGGTTAAACAAATGAAACAATCATTTAGGGTCTAATATTTGAAAAAATTATCATTCTATCAACAAAGCAAGATTCAAGAAGGAACTGTTTCTAAGACCACATTTAACTGTGAAAACAAGTTATCATCTCACGTATGAGATGATATGCTGTGTCAATGATTGTTAAACCAGAACAACAAAGTGCCTTATTTAAAACCAATCATATTTATTTATCTTGGGTACCGCAAGAGCCGAAAACTCTAGAAGTCCTTCAGCACGTTCTTCTCATTTCAAGTGGTCAACTTTGGGATTGCTGAGTCTGTACTGCTGCCCAACTATTTGAAAGCAGCTTTTCAACTAACAACTGATTTCAACAGGTCTGTTCACACAATGCACTATGGCATGATTTAATGTAACATGCTGTGCCATAAACGAATGTTTACGAAGCATAGCGGTTGGTTCTTTCAACATGCAAAGCCCAAAACAAACCACATCAAGGTTTAGCTTAGCGGGTGAACAAAGTTATTGAGATTGTGCCAAAACAAGGGCAGATTAGATACAATCCTAAATTTACTTTGGAAATTACTGAACCACTTAGTACATTTCAAGTTTTAAAAAAAGTCTTCTGCGGAAGAAGAAAAGGTCAGTTCTGAACTATCTGAAATATAAATTTAGATTTTTACCATTTTTTTAAAAACGTGTGTGATTAAACAAAGCACGCACAAAGAAATTGTCTGGCTTTGTAAGTGATCATGGGAGGCTGGGAAAGAAATGGAAGGGAGATTTGACATACGCTATCAAGAGACACAAGAGAAGTCCCTTGGTAGCTTACAAACAGCCTCTCAACCAGGTGGCAAGAAACTGGGAAGAAGCGTTTCAGATTATTCAAAGAGACGCCACCTTAATGAACTCCGTATAAATGAGGGTTGGAAATTCCTTCTGCAGTTTCCAAGGCTCTTTATTGCCCCAAGACTTTTTATTGAAGTCTGTACTTCTTACTGAAGTCTGTGTAATTCTCTTTTCCTTGATCTTACCCAGCTGGGTGAGGTCTGACAAGTTTTTAATCACTTAATAATTCTTAGACTCTCCAGGCAAAGCTGACAAGATTTTTGTGTGGAACCTTGGAGAAATGAATCCAGGCACGATGCGAATAATAGAAAAAAACATCATCACACTTTCTATACGATTGGCTACCGCAGAATAGCCATCACATAAAAGGGAAACTTTTTCAATTACTTTGCATCTTAATAACATCATTTGAGCAGAGCTTAACATCGTCAGAAGAGGATGTTTTGTCATTCAATTGGATGATTATTATTATTATTATTATTATTATTATTATTAAAATTTGAATTTTAGGTATCTTATTAGGCTTAAGACTCACTTCAAGATGCTACCTTGTTCTCCGAAACTGATTTTGTTAGATAATTTAGAAGACAACTATTTCGTACCCAACTTTCAAATAAGCTCCATAAATCCAAAAGCCACAAGGATGATTGGGTCAAGAATAGGAACAATCTGTCTCAAATGATCTGTCTCAAACAGGCTGTTTTAGAGTAATTTGCCAAATGAAGTTGCCTGCTCAGGATTCCCAACTGTTTGATACACAAGAGATATGGCCACATTTGGTCCCTTAATACAGTATCGCAAATGTAGTAACTATGAGGGAGAAAACGAATTACCGCAATTCAATTTCAAATAACAACCATACAAAGGAAAAATATACAAAGCTGCTCACGATGACTGATTTTTTCCACATCAACCAACTGAACAAAGAGGAAAGGAACATAGCAATAATTATTCACAGCTTACAGCGCAGTATACTATTAACAATCAGAAATTCAATTTCTTTCACTTGGAAGCAAAATGGAAAACAAGTCCTGTGGATAATCAAGAAAACAATATAAATAACGCCAATAAAAGGCAACATGGATCTGAAGGCAATTTCTGCAGAAGTCATACGCATTTCTAATTCCAAGACAAAATATATTTTAGAGACTCTTACTAAGTTAAATACCAACCTATTGAATCAAATTTAGGACTAATTCCTTCAATATACTTATTTCAAATAGAACAATATTATAGGTGTTATTTATAAGCACATAGTAACTTCACTTTAGTTACTCTGAAATTAATATACATCGATAAAAGGATTTTAGGAACTACACTGAGAACAACAGACCTTTCAATACGCTTAGATCCATATTAAAGTATAAGATAAACAATCTATCAAAAGGAGCTATAATTGTGAAATGGGCAGAAAAAGACAGAATGAAGACTCTTGCTGACCATTTTTTTATATACTACTCATACAAATCCTTACAGGTACATTGAATTAAGACCTTTCAGGAAAAGCAGTTCTATATCATTAAATGGATTGCTTGAGATTTTGGTTCTTTGTAAGAAGGACTTCTGTCACTTTGTCAGAGAAGATGCAGAGAACGTCAGGGACACAGAAAAGCCACTTCACTGCAGCAGTTCAGGCCACCAGCAACATGGCTGGTCCATGGGGGCTGCCTACTCTATTTGTAGGCACCTTTCCAGCATCTGAAATCAGCTATGAGTTGGTAGCACATGGGAAAGATGGTGTTTCTGAGGAGAAAGAGGGGTATATTTTGGTAGCCCCTGCATTCTCTCTTAATCATATCTCCAACCTTATAAATTCCATCCAGACAGAGAAAATTGAAGGAACTTTTACAGAAGGGATGTACAACCAGGGCATCTAACCCATCCCTTAATGTCTTTGATTTTATTTTTTGCTGTCAATTTCCGCAACATCCCTAAGGTATGTACAGTCATTTGTTTCTCAGTTTCTTCCTGACTTCTGACTGCAAATATCACAATGCCGGAGCATAATTTTTCCATAGTACTAACACTTCTCTCTTGACACTAAGCTGTGATGATTTTCATAGGAGAATAAATTCCCAGAAGGAAATGGAAATCAGGTTCCTCAGGCCTGTGGTTCATCTCAGACAGAGAATGGCAGAGACTGCCGAAGTAAAATAGTACACGTTTTCTATCATTCATCAGCACCAACATCTAAGTATCTCTATAACAGTATTTTCAGAAGGGACTACAGGTAGTCCTTGCTTAACAACGGTAATTGGGACCAGAATTTCACAAGAAAGTTTGATACAGACAGCAACTGTACTTGAAAACAGAATATAATCTGAAGGTAAGATTAGCTAAGAAGCTGGAGTTACAATAAAAAATCTGAATAAAGTAATATAACACTGTTTCATAATTTCTCCAGGTTTCAAACTCTATTACTTGACTGATTTACTGAAGCAATAAACATTATTCTATATGTTATGCTCCAATTCAGATTCTGAATTTGGAATAATGATGAGAGCAGCTCTCGATTCAATTTGCAATTGAAGTTGTGATGATTTTCCTTATAATGTATTGAAATAGTATGATAAACAAGGTGGAATTTAACTGAAACTCAATGTTATCATAAGCAATACATTAGACTGAGTAGACTTTGGTGATAAGGGGAAAAAAGTTAACTGCATTTATTAATTGTTTTTCAAATGGATGTTTTGCTGTGTTTTCTTCAAAGGGAAAGGAATTACAATAAAAAAATGCAATAATATGAATCATGGCTCGGCATCAATTCATTTGATAAAATTGCTCTAGGCAGCAGTATTTCTTACGGCATAACTGACCTGAAGGTAAATTAAAACAGAGCCTAATCTTCTCACCTTACTTTGTAACTCCGTGAAGATCTTTTCCTGTATGGTAGACCTCCTAAGGCAGTTTGACAAGGTCAACAGTAAAAAAAAAAAAAAATCAAATAGTTGTAAGGAAAAAAAAATTCAATACCACCAATTCTTGCAGTCAAGTGGACATGACCGCCCTTCATGTAACATTAACTATTCTTCCATGGTGTCTGCAAGCTCCTCCCTCTTGGGGCGTGCATGTAATGTCACACAATGCACATAGAAGATGGGTGGGGTTTGGGTCGTCCCTTCATAATGCTGCATTAGTCAGACTGATCTATTTGAACCTCCTCTCCCCTGTTGATGCCATTGCCTATGTTATAATATTATCTCCTCTGGGGGAGATGATGTGATGGAAGGTATCTACGAGGAGGAGGGTGATGGGGGAGATCAAGGCTATCAGGAGGGAGGGGGCACATTCCAGGAGGGGAAAGGAGGCAAGAGGCAGCATAGTCCGCAGGGGGAGTGTGAGAAGAGTAAGAGATTCAGGGTAGCCGCTCCCTAGAACTTCACAGGGTATATCCACCAGTTGCTGTAGTATACAGTTGTTCTTGGGCTGGGCATGACAGACGGGCAGCACATACATTAAATAAATAAATATCTCTTTTGAATGGGATTTCATACTTTGTATCAGAAATATTTAGTTAACTGTGTGATGGCTATCTTCAAACAACTACAGAAAATTGAAAAATTAAGTAATTGTCCCTACTGGGCGCACAAAGATTACAAAGAAGAAATTAAGAGTGAAGTTGGCCCGAAGGCATCCATAGAGGTTCAAGTGTGGGAGGCAGTTCTCACAAGGTCAGAAGGAGCAGCCTGAAACCAGACTAGCCTGCCACCAAAACAAGGGGCAGGTGGAAAATGTTCCTCTCACCTGAAGGAAAGGAGGTTTAAGCCCACTACACTGCACAGGTGGGAGAAGAAGGTGCAAGAATATAAATCTTGATTTCACTGCAAACAGGACTCACACTGGATATACAGCAGTTGCAGAAATGCTAACAGAACAGATTCATTGGCTTTTCTATAATAATTCTACTTATCAGAGCCTGTTTGTACCAGTATCCAATCTAGCCTGTCTGGAGAAATATCAGTGTAAAGGCATTCCTGGTTCACTTCTTCCTATCTGAGAGCCATCCGAGCAGATGCGTCCTTTCTTCTGTCCTCTGAGGTGAGCTATTTCAAACTTTACCTACTGCAAGCCTCATCACACCACCATTTGAGGAAAAAGGCCAAGTTCTTTAAGATCCAAGAACTCCCACA